ATCATGCATTTCTACTCTTGTATATCAGTATTTCTGAGTGTGTATAGGCTGTGAGATGTGTGCGTTTTAGTAGGGTTGTGGGAAGTGGGTTTGAGGATTAGTAGGGGTGTGTTGTAAAATTCGGAGTATGGGTCTATAGCTGTGTACTCGTATCAGCATGGAATTGTCTATCTGTGTGTATGAGAATATAAGGCGGGAGTGGGGGAGGCAGTGACCTCTCCCTTCAGGAGGACACCACCAGCATCGATTGCGGTTGCCATGGAGACTGTCAGGCGGGAAGCACTCTCTTCCCACAGGCCACAGGCAGGGAAACTGAGGCCCAAGGGAGGGAGGATTAGATTCAATAGCCTGAACTCGAAGAGGGCTTGGCCCCATCACGACCTCTGGGGAGGGGAGTTATTTCGGCTGCCTTTGGGAACAGCAAACCCAAGCTCCTTGTGGGAGGAAGGGAAACCATGCTCCCCCGCCCCCAGGACTTCACCCAGGAGCTGCCAAAGCCCTGCCTACTCCTTGGGAACCATTATTGAGCTGATGGAACAGCCCAGGGTAGGAGGGAAATCTGAACCTTCCACAGCAGCCACCCACCACCTGGAGCATTCCTGGAGGCCCTCCCCCCTCTTCCCTTTCTCTTTCCTGGTGGTGTAGGGGGAAGGGAGCCCTACAGGGCTAGTGAACCACAAGCAACAGCCTCCGAGTTAATAACACCACTACTACCACTGCTGGCTAATATTGATTGAACACTCACTACGTGCTAGATATTGTGCTATGTGCTTACAGACATTATCACATTGAATTTTCACAAACCTATGGAGGCAGTACTATCACGCCCATATTACAGGTGGGGAAACGGAGGCAAAAGGTGGTTAAGCAAATCCCCAAGATCAGGCAGTGTCAGAGACTCAATTTTAACTCTCTTTGAATTCTGAGACTGTGCTCTAGACCACCAAGCTACATTGGCTCGCTTCTTAGAAAGCTTGCCCTCCCAGGAGGCCCAGTGTATGGAAGTTACTCTGGAGGGTGCCCTCCCCCGATCCAGCTCTGAGATGAGTAGGCGTCAGTCCCAATTGTGGGTTAGAGGCTGGTCGCTACTGCTCCAGTGGAGGATCACCGACCTGCAGTTCTGCATGCTCACCACTGGGGGTCAGGCATCCACCTCACACTGTATTAACCCTCTTCCCCAAGGACAACCTCCAAGGAAGGTGTGGAAACGAGGCCTGGAAGAAGGGTAAGCCTCAAGCTGGCTTGGTCCTCTGCTTGCCCTCGACCCCCACCATCACAGGAAAAAGTCAATTCAGTGGCTAGTTTTGGTTTCTCACACCTTAGAGGTTACAGATTTACAGACGAAATCAGCAACCATTTATTTCCCTGCCACTGTCTAAATTCCACAACTGGCGTTTAATACTCTTCCCTCCACCCTCATCAGCAGAATCTTTCATTTCAGCCAGTCTGGCCTCTTCACTGTCTCCTAGACACTCCAAACTCAGTCCTTGCCTTTGCTCCTGCTATTCTCTCTGCCTGGGATGCCCTTCCTTCCACTTTCCCTCTATCCTACAAATTTTATCTGTCATTCAGAGGCAGCTTAAACCTTCTTCCCTTTCCTTCAGAGCCTCCAGTCCTCAGTGTTCTGCTAGTTAACTGAATTCTTACTGAACTGATTGTCAGGTCCTCAAAATTCAGCACTCAATTCTGTAATGTTATTAGTGGGAACAGTAAAAACAGGCAGTGTAGCATGGTAGGTAAGTAATAGCATGGGCCCGGATGCCAGATTCTCTGGGTTCAAATCCAAGCTTTACCACTTGCAGTTAACTGGGCAAGTTCTTAACGCCTCTGTACCTCAGTTTACTACCTCATATGGTTGTTGGGAGGAGTAAATGAATTAACAGAAAGCTCTTAGAATAATGCCAGGTACAGAGTAACTACTGAATAAATGTTTGCTACCATTATTACCGGAGGGGCAGTGGTGGTTCAGTGGCAGAATTCTTACCTTCCATGTGAGAGACCCAGGTTCAATTCCTGGCCAATGTACCTCATGCACAGCCATCACCCCTCTGTTGGCGGAGGCTTGTGTGTTGTTATGATGCTGAACACGTTTCAGCAGAGCTTCCAGACTAAAAAAATCAGCCAGTGAAAACCCTATGGATCACAATGGTCCGATCGTGGGGATGGCGCAGGACTAGGCAGTGTTTTGTTCCATTGTACATGGGCTCGCTGTGAGAAGGGGGCTGACTTGAAAGCAGCTAACAACAACCATTATTACTAAAATGGCAAACCCTCCCCAGCTTATATTTCTATAGCTCGTAGGGATTCACAAAGCATTTCTACAAAGGAGGCACAGAGGTAAAGGGACTTGCTCAAGACTAATCAGCTAAGAGGTGATGGGGCAGAGATTTGAACCTAGATCTTCTCTTTGGGTCAGTCCTGTCTCTTCAACTAGATTCCAAGCTTCTTGAAGGCAAAGATGTTAAAAATTATGCCTACACAAACTGAGTGCTGGGCTCTGAGCTGGTGGCTGTGGAACAAAGGCGAACCAAACAGGGTTCTGGCTCCCAACACTGGGCAGGGAGAGACATCCCCACTGAGATAACTGTGCTATAAAGCATCTATTCATTCAACAAATAGTGCCTACTATTTGCTAGGAACTGTTGTAGGCAGGTCATGAAATGAGCTATAGTAAAATCCCCACATGCGGCTCTAACTGAGAGGCCAGGGAAAACTTGATGGAGAGGGTACCTTTTGAGCTGGGTCGTAAAGGAGGGCTAAAACTTCAACTGTCTGCCTTAAAAAAGGGATTAACATTTATCAAGCACATTTTGTGCCCTGGACACTTCACATGTATTATCTCATTTAGTCTTCACAATAAACCTGAGATGTTGGGTCTATTATCCCTTTTTTACAGCTGATGTGGTCAGAGTGAGCAGTCTTACACCCATTTGCAGATGAAGGAATTAAGGCTCAGGGAAGTGATTTTCCCAAGATAACATAGCTGATAAAGGGTGGATTGAGACTTGAACCAGCGCCCATGCTCTGCCCACTCCCTCAGGCTATTTCCAGGAAAAGGGTAATGTATGTGGGGTGTTAAGGAGTCCTAGAAGGATATAGCTTAGTTTACGTTGGTGGAGTGATGGGTGTGATAAGACCAAAAAGGGTCAGATTCCACGGAGCCTTGAATGCCAAGCCATGCTATTTGGATTGAATGAGGCATCACAGCAACAGCTCCCTGCTCCACATTGCTGATTCACAGATAGACAGATTGATAAACTTGCAGTCAGTTGCCCTGTCCCTGGACTCTCCTCTTCCCTCTCTCACTCCTACCCTCAACTCTCCAAGACCTTGACCTGGCCTCACAGAAACTCAAGGTCCTATACCAACCAGGCCCCTGGTGGAAGGGTCTGTCAGGAGTGAAAGAGTGAGTTGTTTTTCAGGCTCTCCCTTCTCTCTACTCAGAGACCTCTCATATCTTAGGGCCCTTGGGAAACTTGCCCAGATCTGTCTTTCCCAAGCACCCCTGTGCCACTCGACTTAGCTCTTCACCTAAAGGAGTGAAGTCTTAATGGAAGCGCTTCAGGCAGAGTGAGTGCCCAAGGGAACTCTATCTTGGGGCATTAGATGGGCCCTCCCAGGTCCCTTAAATCTTACCACAGAGATCCTATCATCCAGTCCTTTAATTCCACAGTTAAAACCCGAGAAATGCTGCCTTGTGGGGGGACCCACCCTTTGCAGCTGCCCCACCTTCCCCAGTCTACCCTTGTTCCCCTACCAGTGGGGGACCAGCCAGTGAAAACCCCAAAGCCCTTCTCTCAGCCCCCCAGCCCCACTCCATTCCAAGTCAGGCCAGAAGCTACTGCAGCCCCCAGCTGTATCAGGTGATTAATCACCTCCCTAGACGCTGGGACTATTTTGGGGCCTGGAAGTCATGCCTGCAATGATTGAGAGCTGGCCCTGCCTGGCTCCAGGCATCTGTCACTACAGACAGGCCCAGGCAAGGGGGCTTGGGAGAACATGTGCTCCCCAAGAGAATTCTAAACATGGCTCTGGTTCAGCCCCATCTCTTCTCCTTCTGGGGGGACACATGGCAAGGAGAATCACAGGCCCTGACTGCACTCCTGGGACTCAAGTGAATATTCATGGAGAGAGCCAAAAAAAAACCCTACAGATTCCAGAATACCATGACCCCAGGCTGTTTTGAGGCCAGGTGGGGAGGGAATGCTGGGCCCTTCTCAGCTAACCCTAAGGGAACCTAAGTGTACACAAATCTTACAATCCACACTTCACAAATTTCGCACATCCCACGCCATAGCACAACCTCAAGAAGGCTATACGACTAACTCAGTGTGACTCAGAAACCCCAACCCAGGCCATGGCATAGAACTCCGGTACATGCAGTCTCAGTGTCACAGAATCCCGGGGATATGCACCCCCAGGGATGCACAGTCCCAGTGATTATAACCCCATTCATCCAGACTCCCAGAGAGACAAAACAGTGACATATAATCCTTATGCCATACAAGTCTATCCATCCTATCACCCATGAAGTCACTAGCTGAGTTCATGTTGGTCCAGCCCCACCTCAGGATCTCTTCCTTGTGGACACTGAGCCCAGTCATCTTAAGACCCCCTTAACCTAGCAAAGCAGTAAAGGGCTGTGCTTTCTTCCTGCTCTGCTGCAAGCTTCTTCATCTCATCCCTGTGAGGGGTCCTGCCTTCTTACTTCCACCACTTGCTAGATCCCCCTCCTCTGCCCTCAGTGAGAAGCCTTGCCCCCTCTCCCACGATTGTGAGGGACCATGCTCTTTCTGAGTCCTAGCTCCTCTCCCTCCTCTATCAGTAACTTTATCCCTTCCTCCACCTCTGTGAGGGGTCTTGCTCCTTAAACCCTTTTCTTTGAGGGATCCTGCTCCCTCCCCCATCTCTGGGAGGGGCCCACCCCCTCCTGACTTCTGTAAAGCTCCTATCCCATTTCTTCCTTTGAGGGGTCCTGCTCCTCCATCCCTTCCTCCTACCTGGGGACAGCGACCCAGTCACCAGCTGGTAGAGAGATCGCGTTGCCTGCCCCAACGGGCTCCAGCTCCTGCGGGGGCATCGGTTCATGGTTCAGCTGCGAGCACTGCGGCTATGCTCCGCCCCCAAGGCCCGGGGCCATTCGATCTCCCCCCCCACTAGTGTGAGCACTGCGTGGGCGGTGCGCGGGAGGGCTGGAGCTGCAGGACCATGCAGGACTCACAGACCATGCAGCCTCTCCTGGCTGGACTAGGGGCACTCACCCTGGCCCCATCGTTTGAAAGACCGGCCCCCAAAGTTCCCAGACTGGGGACGGAGGCATGGGAGTAGGGGACTCTCTTCACAATCTTCTTCGGGAACGTTTTCTGGATGTCTGGCGGGGAGGGGGAGCAGACACGGGATTTGAAAAAGGAGATCTAGGGGAAATAAACCTTATCATTTATTGCCCTCTTGAGTCCCTCCTCCACCTGTCACTCCTCCCCCCACCATTTTGGCACAGATAGGAAACGGTAAAAAGGACATAGTTGTCATGGCAACCCCTCCACACTTCCATACTTCCTGGACCAATGGGAGAGAGAGGAGGAGGGAAGAGGAGGAAGAAGAAGGTGTTTTGGGTTGGCAAGAAAGAGGCGGCAGGGATGTTCCCCTACTGGTTTGTCTCCTAGATCCAAATCTCTTTCTCTCCTGTTTGTCTCTTTTTGTTCTTGTCCAGGGGGTTCACAGACTTACTATTATACGCTGGCTGCCAGCCAAATGCACCGAGAAGCCCCTCACTCTCAGTGCCTCCCCCCCTCCCCCACCGCAGACCCCTTTCCTGGGCTTGTCCCTATCTGGTTAGACCTAAAGTAAACCCTTTCAGGACCCTGTAGCTCTCCTTCACACTCCTAGAAGAGCCTGCAGGTCACCGTCTCACTCTCCCGACTCGGATCCCATATTTTTGGCTGAAAACTCTACATTACTAGGCAGATGTCACCTCCTAACTCCATGCAAATTTTGTCCGCTGCACTTGGCAACAGTCCCCGTCCAGAATCAGCTCCCCCTGCATGGCTCCCCTAAGCCACACGAGGGAGCCCAAGTCCTGGGAACGATACTTAACGACCACAGGGACCGAATTCCGGAGGTCCCTGGCCCAGGGACCTGGACCCAGGCCTAGCCAGCCAGGTCTTTTCTCTGCTTCCGGCTGGGACAGGGCTGCCGCTGATGGCTGCCTTTCCCCACTCCATCGCACTGCCAAGAGACCTCGCTGGGCTGGGAAGACTAGAGGGGATGGATTGGGGTGGCGGGTGGGGGGGAACAAGAGGGGAGAGAAACGGATTTTTTCTTTAAAAAAGCCTCTCCAGCTTTGTTTTAAAGTTTGGGGTTGGAGTGGTGGAGGGAAGCAGTCAGTGGACCCAGAATGCCCTTCCTGTCAGCCTGATGGGCCAGGATGACGAGAGCTGGAGACCATCCCTGTCTTCAGTCCCTGGAATCCCGCTTGCATTAGGCGGGAACGGAGCGGAACTTTGGGCTCTCGGAACGTTGGGCCGCGCCTCCGTCAGTCCTGCGAGAGCTTCAGCACCGCGGGCAATGACTCCTATTGCTAGGTGTGTGAGTGGTGTAGGTTTCCACTCATAGCGACCCTATTTACAAATAGAACGAAACACTGCCCGGTCCTGAGCCATCCTCACAATCATTGCTATGTTTGAGCCCATTGTTGCAGCCACTGTGTCAATCCATCTTGTTGAGTCTTCCTCTTCCTCGCTGATCCTCTACTTTACCAAGCATGGCATGCTTTTCTCCAGGGACTGGTCCCTCGTAAGAATATGTCCAAAGTACGTGAGACAAAGTCTCACCAACCTCGCTTCTAAGGAGCATTGTGGCTGTACTTCTTCCAAGACAGAAAAAAGTTTGTTCATGGTATATTCAATATTCTTCACCAACACCATAATTCAAAGGCATCAATTCTTCTTCAGTCTTCCTTATTCATTGTCCAAACATGAAAACCAAAAACAAACTCATTGCCCTCGAGTTGATTCCGACTCACAGTAACCCTATAAGACAGAGAAGAACTGCCCCATAAGGTTTCCAAGGAGCGTTTGGTGGATTCGAACTGCAGAACTTTTGGTTAGCAGTGGTAGCTCTTAACCACTATGCCACCACGGTTTCCTGAAGCATATGAAGCAATTGAAAATACCATGGCTTGGGTCAGGCATACCTTAGTCCTCAAGGTGACATCTTTGCTTTTTAACACTTTAAGGAGGTCTTTTGCAGCAGATTTGTCCAATGCAATACGTCGTTTAATTTCTTGACTGCTGCGGTCAGTTGGGAACTCGCAAGGCCGGCGGCACCTCTGCCCTGCGCAAACTTCAGCACCGCGGACAAGGACTCCTAGATAGGTTTTTCAGCTCTTGCATTTCTGCTGGCTGAGCGTTGCCTGCCCGCCAGGGCCAGGAGTCTTCGTTTACTTTGGCCTCTCAAACCCATTTGTCTCCACTATGATAAGTCTTGTTTCGAGAGGAGAGCCCCTGGTAGCCCTGTTTCTATTTTCCAAGTCATGCGTGTACAGCAAGAATCCTGATGGCTTGGATGATGATTCTTGACACTTGCCAACATTTGATCCTTCTATTTCCCTTGGGAGCAGGCAGGCATGAAGTAGTATGCTCCATTTTACACATGAGAAAAGTGAGGTCCAGAAAGGAAAAAGTCACCCAGAGCTGGTACTCACACTCCCATGCCTAACTCCTGAGGCAGTGCACCTTCCCAACACAAATGCTGACCCACCCTCACTCAATCGCAGCTTCAAATAGCCAAGTGGGGAGGGGATGATTCCACTAATGGGGAAAATCAATTAAAGCAGGAAGCAAACACTGACTAATGAGGTGCTAATGAGGGCTTTAGGGGCCCCAGTACTCTCAAGAATCCTCTGAACTGGTGGTGGGAACAGAGGACATATCAGAGCTGGACAGCTGGACCTCTGGATCCCATCTAGGCTGAGGCACTGAGACCTGGTCTCTTTCTTATTGGGGGCCTGCCTGAGGGCCGAGCTCTTCCTTCTGGGGGGTCTTGGCATAGTGACTAGGACCTCCCCAGGGTCAGTGATGGGGAGACACTCAGATCTCCAGGCACCACATCCTAGTCCCCTCCTCCATCCCCAAGTCTTAACCTCACTCCCCTCAGGAAGGACAAGGATCACAACCTCTCCCTAGCTTTGCTTCAGCTGCAGGGGGAGACAGTCTCCTTCCTCTCATGCTCTGTTGGAGTTCTTGGGCAGGCTGCACAACTAGAGATGTAAACACACACATACGTGGAAATGTACGCAAGGGGACACAGTCACCTACACAAACACATGGAGCTGCTTACCAAACCCAGGAATATACACAGGCACAGTGCACAGGTCTAACATACCTCCCCAGAGAGGAAAGACAGTACACTAGGGCAGCAAAGTGGTTTGGGGGCACGTAAGGGTAGGCAACAGGGCACCGGCCAGGCCTAGAGATATCTCTGGATCTGGAGGGGAGGCAAGAAGATGTGTTTTCCTCAGGGTTGGGGTGAAGTTCTGGAAGGGTTGTTGGGGGTTGAAGGAACTTCAGTTGTAAGAATGATCTATGAGTACTTTTTTTTTTTTTTTTTTTGCGGGGGGGCTGACCCATTACTAACCAAAGCCTCCCCACAAGCGTCAGATGCTGGGACTATAGGGTGCTCCTGGGAGTCAGGCTGGGCAGCTGGACACTAGAGCCCCCCTCCTTGGATCCACCTGGGATATTTGTGGAAAACTTGGGTAAGCAGTGGAGTTCACTAAAGACCTTCCATCTGCACCAGGAAGCCAGAAAGGCAGCAAGGGTAAGACATGTCATGGACACTCAGACAGAGCCCCACTGCAGACATGACCACACAAAAGTACACAACTAGCATTCAATGCCAATGTAACCCACATAGTCTCATAATCACAAAACACAACACAACACACCTTAACAAAGGCTCACCCCAGGAGTTACACAGTTATAAAGTCTTACAAAGAGACACACCACCATAAAATCAAGCCCTGACACATTCTGGTAGTACATGCCATTTCATACAGAATCACACACTCAGAAGTACATAGTTGTACATACAACAGAGACACATGGTCAAAACAACCTCATCTGTACAATTAGGATCCTATACAACCTCACTCAAACATCTGACAAGATCACACAATTGCATGGCCACACACAATTGGTCACATGCAACCACATTTGCCCTGGCTGTCACCAAGGCCAGGGCACATGGCAACCAGATGGGAGGCACACACACTTCTACACACAGAGACACATAGGAAGAACGACAGGCACTTATGCACATGACACCTCCCACTCCAGACACCCTCCCAGTCCTGTGTCAAACACGCCCACACCTGCTGCCTCTCCCCACCTGCTATGCCCCCAGCCCTGTGGGACCAAGGCTTGAACCCCAGTGTCCTGCTGCCCAGCAGTTTGGAGGGTGCCTGGGGATGCGGCAGTCTGGGCGGGAGGGAGCTAGCCGGCTGGATCAGAGAGTCATAAGGGTCTAGGGGGATGGAATCCACCCTTCCTCCCGCGACCCCCCGCGCCACCAACTTACCCGTGAGCTGGTCGTAGGAGCCATCCAGGTCTCGGGAATCGGACAAACTCACCTTGCGGCCCTGGCCCCGCATGGCCCCCGGCGACCCCCTCCGGTCCCGCCTGGGCCGGGGGAGGGGGCGCCGGGTGGCTGGGGCCGGGCGCTCACGCAGCGCCCCCTGGCGGCGAAGCGCACTGCCGGGGGCTGGGGGCCAGAAGAGTCTGAGCTGGGGCTGAGAGTCTGGGCCGGGCCGGGGTCTAGGGCCCACCTGGGGGTCCTGGGGCAGGAGCGGGAGGCTTGGGTAGCAGGTGAGCGCAGACCCGGAGCCCGAGTGGAGCTGAGCGCGGAGCCGAGCAGCCTCTCTCCTCCCGCCCCCTCCCCGCGGCTGTCAACGCTGCCTCCCCCTTAGGCATTGCTGGGATTGGCTCCCCTTACCCCGCCTCCCCCTTTGCAGCTCCGGGGAGGCACCCGGGGAAAGAGTGAGCTGGGAAGTGCGGGGAGGGGGGCTCCTTCTCTAGCAACCCTTCCCCCTAAACCTGAAGCCGCGGGGCTTGGGAGTCTGGGAGGGAATGTGGCCAGAAAGGCTCCACTGTGAGGAGACCTCTGCCCCAATTCTCTGGTCCCCTTCCCCCACCGCCAGCGCGGTTCTGGCCAAGTTAGAGCCTGGAGTATGTCTCTTAAGTCCCCTGTTCGTTTGTCTCCACGTCATCCTCAATTTTCCTTGTTCCTCCTTCCCTGTATCCATCTCTGTGTCCCCAGCGTCTCCCCCAGGCTTGAAAGAGACTGGAGACGCAGAGGAAAAATCGCCCCAGCCTCTAGTATATGCTCATCTCAGGCCAGCAGACTATAATTTTCTCAGGTTCCAGAAGGACCTCACCCCTCACCCACCGCAGGACCCTGTCTCTGGGCCCTATTCACTCTCAGGGTGCCTTCTTCCCTGCTCTGATGGCTCCTGCTAGCCAAGTGGGAAGGTAAGGAAAAGAAAGAAGTGAACCAGGTCAGTTTCTCAAGACTTTCTCGCTCTCTCCCCATTTCCTTCTTTCAACTTTCCTACTGTTCTCTCTTCTGTCACCTACCTTGTCTTAGATTCCTACTGTTTTCCAGCAGATTTGGGAGAGCAACTGAAGGGCTGTGGGATCCAGGTGAGGACACAGAGTGGGGTCAGAAATGCCCTTACTGTGAAGCCCCCTTCCCTGAAGACTGGCTCCTCTTCTGAAATCAGGAGCCAGCACACAGCTGGGTTACTTCACTCAAGAATGGTTACTGAATGGCTGAGCCCCACTTCTCTGACTTTTCCGAGGATGGTTCCTGGGTTCCTAGCTCATGAGTCCCTGACCCAGCATGAGAATGGGGGTCGGGTGGTCCGGTGAGTCTGGATGGTGTCATGGCAGTGTCCCAGATAACCCTGCCAGCCCAGCAGCTCCTCTGGAGAAGTGACCTACTGAGATCAAAAGCTTCAGCTGAAGTGACCTCAGCACATTTAATCTCTTCAATTGGATTCAATTTCCAACCACTTGATTTAATTAACCCAGCAGGAATTGCGGTGGGAGTTCAGGCATGAGAGGGGAACAAGTAGCAGCAGGGAGGCCTGCCTCTGAGGGCAATGCCCTGTCCTGGCTTTCTCCTGGCTCTCTCAGGGCCTCCACAGACCTGGCACAGAGGCTGAGGCATGGACAGAGCATAGGCAGCTCCTTTTGGGGCTAATTTCTAGGAGAGGATTGGAATCTTATTCAGTTCTTAGAAAGGGTATATGTGAAGAAATGGGCCAAGAGACAAGCCTTTCCAATGAAGGGCAAGGAGTCTTCTGTATATTGGCCCATGCCTTAGACCTGGCCTTGGTCAGCCCATAGGAAAGGCTGGCAGGAATCCAGAAGTGGTCCAGATGGGTTGGCTGGCCTCCTCAACACCACTAAGTTTGGAGGGAAGGGAACCCCCTTCTCCTCCTTTCCACCCAGAGGGTAAGGGAAGCTACAACTGAACTGAACTGGCCTCCACTAGGGCCAGGAAACTCAGAGGAGGAGCATATGCAAGGACAGGCAGGGGTTCCTAGCCTGAGGGGACCAGCACGTGGGAGATTACTTTAACTCTGTCTTTGAGAAATGAGTTCTGGGCAACAGAGATTAAGAAGAAAAAAAAAAAAGCACTAAAAAGACTGTCCCATTCAAATCAATTTTTAATAACTTCAACGTGCCACCAGCTCCAGCTCCTCGGAGGTTTATCACTGAGGAAAACACTGATTGCCCCAGGCTGGGCTATCCATCTAGTGATCAGAGATGACCCAGCCCCTGATCTCTTAAGTGTCTACCCTATACACAGCAGCATATTGTGGCTTCTCTGGAACAAGTGCAGATCTGCTCAATGTCGGACCCAGAATTCTGGTTCCCAGGGAGGGCAAGTATCCCAAAGAAATTTGAGGCTAAGTGGAATAGCAGCTGGGGAGGTCCCAGACCTGTTCTCACTGCTGAGTTCCTGCACTCACTCCCATATTCTTCCTGTGCTGCCTGCTCTCTGCCATTCTGACAGCTTTAGAAAGTGTTTTGGAAAGAGAAGATCTCGGAGAAGCAGCTACTTCTGAGGCAGCTGTGGGGTAAGGAAAACCTATAATGGTCCCACGGAGGCTATCCAAAGGGAAGAATCACAGGCCAACTTCCCAAAGGTCAGATTTGCCATGCCCCGACCCAGAATACAGGCAGGCAGAATGGAAGCCCTATCTGTGATGTTCATCTGATCTCTTTCAGATGGAGGACACCCAGCCCCCAGCAGGTTTTCTCCTTCCCAGGCACCACACCACAGCAGGACTGATTCCTCCCCAGAGGAAATTCTCAGGCAGGCTGGATGTAAACAACAGCCAGGTGAAGGGGCAGAACACAGAGAAGCTCCCAGAAGAGGGCGTGGGTAGAAAGGTAGGGAAGCTGCTGGAAAGGGAACCAGCAAAGCAGGCACCTGAGGGCTCCAGAAAACCTGTCAATGTTTATTTCACACACACACACCCTAAAGACAGTTTAAAACAGATTAAAAATGAAAGTTAAGGTTGTGACTCTATTGTGCTGATGAGTGGGTTGACGGAGGGAAAGTCAACAGGTGCTTCAGGCGGCCAAAGCTCAAATCCAGAAAGTGATGGCCAGACAGCAGAGTATTGGGCATATTCTAATCTCCAGTCTACCAGAGGAATCAGCTCTGGATTTAGGAAACAGAAAAAAGGCACCCACGCCTACCCTACCCTAAGCCTGAGCTAGTGGTCCTAATGACTGGACAGAGTGCCAGTGGGAGCCGGGGACACAGATTTCAAGCCCAGCTCAGCCCCAGGCCCAAATGAAGCAGGATGTGGCTCCACCTTCATTGAGCTGATCTGTTTTCAAATGCCTGGGAAAGCCATTGACTCTCATGGTGTTGGCATCACTGGGGCTTGCCCACCAGCTCCTGAAAACTAAGTCTGTGGCCACAAATTGTTATGTCAATTGGAAATTGAGGGTGTGTCCGGGTGCACACCCTGGAAATCCCCACATTCTTGGAGGCCTCTCTGTGCCCACCCATCCCTCCCCAGATAAGATTATCCCTGGTTTGCCCCTCCTGGCCCCTGCTGTCCAAGCTCCACTGAGAGTGTGGCCTTCACAGAGAGCACTCAGTATGCGTTTTTCTCCAATCTTGGGGGCAGCCTTCTCTCCCCTCACTCTCCCTCCAGCCCAGGAGCCTCAAGGGTAAGGGCAGTCAGAGGCTGCTCAGGTGGGTGTGGCCTCAGGATATGGTGGAGAACTCCTTGAGCAGGACCTCCTGGCTGAGTGTGTGGAAGGCCAGGTTTCTCCGGACGTTGGTGCTAATGGATCGAACCTGGGAAAGGGTGGGGGAGGTGGGAGGGCACAAGCAGAGAAAAAACAGGAGAGAGTCGGTTACAAAACAGTAGAGGGCAGTGCCTGAGGCACAGGCCAAGATGCAAAGCTAGATGTTTCTTTTTTAGGAACTGAACCCTACAGACAAATGAGCAAACTGTTCCACGACAGCAGGACGAAAAGAAGAGGGGCTGAGAAACAAAGAAATTCTAGTGGCTGCAAGAAGAGCAGCTGAGTTCTGGAGGAGGTGGATGCAGGCACAGACAAGGAGGTCAGGTCTTTGTCCTTAGGTTGGCCATGCAGACGGGAGACTGGTCTAGTTAGCGTTCTGTGGAGGAGGAAAAACTGAGGTAGGGGCCACTTCCTTTTATCCCAGAGGACTCATGCTCTAAGTCCACCTCTCTTCAGATGTGTTTCTAGTCTCCTCACTCTCTCTTTGTGTTTATGTCATTTTTCTGGTTGGAAGGAGCTTTCAGAGATGCAGCCCAAGGAGGCCAATGAGCAGGATCAGGTCATAGAGCTGACGAGTCCCATGCTTGGGAACAGGACCCAGGTTTCCTAACTCCTAGTCCGGCACTCTTTCCATACCACAAAGATGCCTCACCACTTTAGAGGAAAAATGTAGAGTCGATTCTGACTCGTAGCGACCCTATAGGACAGAGTAGAACTGCCCCATAGTGTTTCCAAGGAGCGGCTGGTGGATTCGAACTGCCGACCTTTCAGTTAGCAACTGAGCTCTTAACCTCTGTGCCACCAGGGCTCACATGTAGGCTATATCCTGGCTGTGTCCCCACTGCTCACCTCACATACTTTCTACTCACAGACTGACAGCCTTGCAGGAAGTGTTGAATGAGTCAGCCGGAGGAAAGGCCTATGGGGAAGGGACCAGAGGTCCAAACTCTCTCCTCTGAGTGGGTCACAAAAGAGCTCCAGCAGACTCTGAAAGACTTATCCATGGTAACAGGTGTGTGACAGGCAAAGAGGGTTGGGGGTGCGGGAGGGAGAAGGAAAGAATGTTTCTTTATCCCAGGCCCCACAGTCCAGGGAATTTTCCTTCAATTTCTGCTTTGCTATGGGAGATTTAAATGAAGTCACCAGGCAGGGAGCAGAGAGAGGGGCAGCATGGCAAACAGCAGGCAGCTGAGCTCATTAGCTCCAAAATGGACCAGACTCTCCTGGCTCCCCTGTGCCAAAGCTACAGTATGGGCAGAACCAAGTAAGGCAAAACTGAGTAAAAGCCTCAAGACATAGCTCCTCTAACTCTCTCACCCTCTTCACCTCTCAATCATGTTGCTGTTACTTCTTGGCTCCTAGTAACTCCCCCACATCAACTTAAAGACTTGCCATCCACTCCATAAAACTACTCTACCCTGCTATCTCCTTACACTAATGGCTTCCTTATTCCCAACTGACTCACCTCAGAGCATGTGTTCCTCACCCTGCGGCAGCTGAAGTCCAAAACCCCAGGAATGTCATGTCAGGGTCAGAGTTGGGCTGTGTCTAGCACAAGACAGACACAATCTAAAATCCAGCACCTTCACCAAGGACTTGGCACAAGGAAGGAAAAGGCGGGCTGATGAAAGCTCTGCCCAGCAGAGGGAGGTTTGAGGACATGGAAAGTGGGTACCGAGGCCTGTGTGTCCTGATCTTAGCACCCAGCTAGGATGCTAGTGTATATAACCAAGGAGGTAGAGTTGGGGTGGTAGGGCTATGCGGAAGCTGAGCTTTTCCTGAGAATAGCTCTGAGCACAGGGCAGGAAAGGGACAATCAATAAGGAAAGTCCAATTCTGTGGAGATACTGACTGGAGGTGGAGTAGCAGGCAGAGCAAATGATCACTGGCTCCAGATGGCCAAGGCTGGGGCAGCAGGAAGCTGAGTGACTGGGAAGTGGAAATGGGTATAGGGAGTAATAGGAAAGACTGGAGAACACGATTGGGAGGGCACTCAAGACTAGGAGCCAGTTAGGAATTTATAAAGTGATTGCATAAGGAGAAGAATCAATTATTCTCATTAATTGCTCTGAAGACAGGATAGGGAGTACTGAGCCAGAACTACCACTGGGAACACATGTCAAACCAGAGGCCCAGCTGAAACTGTGCAAGGGCTGTCTCCATGGCTGCAGAGAAGAGGTGGGCAATGCTACCTCGGGCTTCTCACCCTTCCCAGCCTGGCACCAATACCCTGGGGAATAGGCTCTTCTCTCACGCCTGGTCCTGGGCTGCTTTGGGAAAGTTGCACACTTCATGCCAGAAGACCCCTTAAATCTTGTTGTATCAGCCTTTGTTTGGCAACTGCAGTCCTTCCCTAGATGCCCACTTGTGCAGCAGAACCTGATAGCTGGGAAAGGGCCCCCAAGAGACACAGGTAGAGATGAGGGAAGGACGGACTCACAAGCTCTTTGAAGAAGGCAGCCTCCTTGTGCTGCTCTGAGTAGCGCTCATATTGGTCCAGGCCATCCTGCAGCTTCAGTGTGAGCGTGTCATAGTTGGCTCGTACTACCTCCAGCACCTGGGGGAAGTCAAGGACCAGGAAGAACTTAGGCCATGCAAACCCAGGCCCCTCGGCCCCCAAGCCCTTCCTGGGTCAGATTCAGTCTAGGGCAACACCACCAAGAGATGTTCCTCTGCTCACTACTCTGTTGTTATTGTGTGCCACTGAGTCCATTCTGACTCATAGCAACCCAATATGACAGTGCAGAACTGCCCCATAGGGTTTCCTAGGCTGTAATCTTTACAGGAGCAGATCCCAAGGTCTTTTCTTCCACAGAGCACTTGGTGGGTTCAAACTGCCGACCTTTCGGTTAGCGGCCAAGTGCTTAACCATTGCACCACAAGAGCTCCCTGCTCACTGCTTACCACCTTGAAAAAAACCCAGCCACAGGGAGTAATTCCTTAGGTTTCTAGGCACACTTTCTAATCTCCCCTACTCCCTGCCTTTCCTGACCAGCCCACCCTGGCTACCTGTGGCTGGTAAAAGAGCATGGGAAGAGGTGGCAGAACGGTGTATGTCTGAGCTCACCAAACACACACACACACAAAACCTGCTGCTGTTGAGTTGATTCCAACTCATAGTGACCCTATAGGACACAGCAGAACTGCCCCATAGGGTTGCCAAGGAGCGGATGGTGGATTTGAACTGCCAACCTTTTGGTTAGCAGCTGTAGCTCTTAACCACTGTGCCACAGGACTCCAGGCACTGTATTAGGCATCAGGAATTCAAAGAGAATTAAGACATGGTACTCGGCTTCCACAGGTATCATGGTCCAGTGGGTGTGGACAGGTGTGAAAACAAGGAGATCAAATACAGAGGGAAAGACAACATAATAGAGGTACTCAGGGTACTCAGCTCACCAGTATCCCTGAAACCATAAATGTGTTCTCAGCCCTATCCGGAAGCTTTCTCTGGCCAGGTTGTCACAGCTACTGAGTAAGACTTTGCCAATGCAATGTCTGCTTCCTTCTCTCTTTCTGGGAATCACATTTCTTCAGTCCTGGGATGTTCCTGAGCACCATCTACAACTTACCTTCATTTCTCAATGCCAAGTCAATCGTCCTGTCCTTGCCTGGATGGAACTTTTGGGCACCCCAGCCTTGATATTTTCTAGACTAAGCTAGAGCTAACCTCAGCTTGTTTTGTTCTGATGAAGGGTCTCTCTGCCACAATGCCTCGCTCTGACTTTATGCGTGGCTGGGGGGTGGGGGGCTGCGCAGTTTCAGATCTCCACTGACTCCAGGAACCTTGGATCTCTGTGGTTCCAGTAGGAAGGGGCTGCCATGGCCAGGCCTGATACTCTGGCATATAAGACCGTGAATCAGAGGCTAGGACTGTTGGGGGAGAGGCACTACATCAAGTTAGAAGAAGCAAGCTGGGCAGAAAGGAGAGACAAGGAGAGGGACTGCTTACTCTGGGAATCTGGGTGACAGCTATTTTGCAACTTGATCTGCCCTGGGAGGAAACTCTATGATAACATGGATAAATCCCTGCTTAGCAGGGAGCTTGGGGGTGGGGGTAAGTGAGTGATCAGGCAGGCTTAGCTCTGACAGAAGGTGGGGGTGAAGGGAACAAGCTGAAGTCAGGACTGGTCAGACGGATTGAGGACGGGCTCCTGAGGGTGGCAAACATGCCTCTAGGCTGTTCCCCTCACCAGTCCTGTCTTGTGCCAGGCCGACTTCACTTGGTAATAAACACTTCTGCCTGCCAAGAATTCAGGCAGGTTGGAGAGCACAGGGATAGCCTGTGTCCCTGTGGAAAAGTCTCTGAGTTTTGGGGGAAGGGACAGCTAGGGCAAAGGTCTGGCCTAGGTTGCTGGCTCAGGCTCCTTCCCTCCAGTCACCCAGCTCCACAAAGTCATTTTGCCTGGTTGTGTCCCACAGACCCTAGAACAGACTGACTGCTCTGCTTCTAATTCCATTTGCCAGCTCTGTAGGCAGGAGGACCGGTACCCAGCAACGGCAGTCACCCACAATGTAATCTGGTCCTCTCCTGCACGTGGGCTGCACTCGTGGCTGGAATATCTACAGCCAAGGTCTTGGCACAGAAATGAATGGCTCAAGCCCAGAAAAAGGCATAATCCCTCCAACATGGAAGCAGCCCCCAGGGATGAGGCAGAATAGGGTAATATGTGCTTTCCTAGTCCTGAAATCTGGGCAGCCTCAGTAATGCCTATGACCCAGCAACCTGGGCTCATTCTTCCCTGAGGGGTGTCAGGTGCCAACAGACAAACCTCATGTTAAAGCCAATTTCTGTGAAGAGGTACAGAAGAACTGTGCCTTTGACACATCCCGAGAGGCTCAGGCCTCAGGTACGGCTGGCTTATCACCTGGGTTTACTCCTTTTGCTAGGGCAGAGTGCAAAGTCTAAGATCTCACTCAAAACAGGGATTTTTCCTTTTCCCAGTAAAGTCCAGTTTGCTGCAGAGAGGTGAAATCACGGAAGGCCCTTGAGCTATTAGCTCCTTGGCAGGAAACCAGAGGCCTGGCTGGACTTAGAGAGGGCATGATCTTAGCTCTCCTCTTGTGCAGACACTGCCCATTGCCACCTCCTTCTCTTGGGCTTTTTCTTGTGGGCTTACTCCCTTTTATCCTCTTTTACCCAGGGGAAAGTTGCCTGTCAATTTATCCAGCCTCTGTCTTCTGCCCTTGTCACTTCTCTTTAATTCCCAAGGGAAGAAGACACTCTAAGCTCAGGTCTGGGCACCAGCTCATTTGGGACTTCAGAGCACTAGGGGTTCTTTCCTAGTCTGGGACTTTGCTTATTGTAGCTCCAGACGTTAGGAATATGCCCCCATCTGGGTCTTACACACAGTCCTGGTCTGGACATGGCAAGGACAGCAGCACTTAGGTAACAAGCAATCTTCCAGAGCCCCTGTGCCTAAAGGCTTAGGTTTTACCAAAATTTTCGGCTTCCCTCTCAACTTCCTGGCAACTCCAAAGGCCCCTCCCAGACTGGGATCCTTCTCCAACCCATCAAGTAACAATCTATTCCTCAAAGCACAAACTACCTTCTTTCATCAGTCATTAGGCTTGTGGGTTTCCCAGAACCATGCCTACTACCTCAGCCTTAGGTAGCCCCAAAGCCAGTAAAGCACCTGAAGTCAGATGCTCTCTAAGGAATCCTTACACCCCCATCTATGACCCTCAGTAGACAAGAACTTGCGTGCTGGCAAAAAGCCTAAAAAAAGAGAACTAAACTGGGAGCCCCACGCTTCCTATGAGACCTCGGATAATTCACCTAACCTCTTTGACCCTCAGCCCTTCTCTCTATAAAATGCAACTTGAACTTACCTTCCTGAAATGACATGGGAATGGAAGTTCTGAGTTCCTAAAGGTAACATACAATTGAGTGAAACACTATCATCCCAATGGCTACACAGCTTTTACCTGGACAGCTCTTGGGACCCAAGAAGAACTGCATTCACAGCCCAGAAGTACCTACTTATTTCAAACTGTCCCAAAGCTCCTATGTGCAAAAATGATTCTTCACCACGAAGAAACATCTTCTGGATTTAAGTGAAAGACAAGGGATACACAAATGGCCTCAGTTTCAAATATCCTATGCCTTATTTGTCCTAAAACACTTTGCCTTAGGAGAAGGGAAAACAAACAGGGGGCCCTAAACACCTGACCTTGAGGTCTCTGGGGGGGACGGGCCCGAGAAGTCAGCAAAGTCATTAAGAACATAGGCTGTGAGGTCAGAGAGACCTAAAATTTAGTCCCAAGTCTGCCATTGATTAGCTTTGTAAACTTACACAACTTACTTTACCTTTTTGAGCCTCAGTTTTCTTATCCATAAAATGGTATCACTATCTAACTGATAAAAATGAAATGAGATGTTGTTAGGTGCTATTGAGTTGGCTCTGACCCACAGCAACCCTATGTACAACAGAATCAAATTCTGCCTGGTCCTGTGCCATCCTCAAAATCGTTGCTATGTTTGAGCCCATTGTTGCAGCCCCTGTGTCAATCTATCTCATTGAGGGTCTTCCTTTTTTTTCAATGATCCTCTACTTTGACAAGCATAATGTCCTTCTCCAGGGACTGGTCCTTCCTGATAACATGTCCAAAGTACATGAAACAAAGACTTGCCATCCTTGCTCCTAAGGAGCATTCTGGCTATACTTCCAAGACATATTTGTTTGTTCTCCTGGTAGTCCATGCTATATTCAATATTCTTCACCCACACCATAATTCAAAGGCATCAATTCTTCTTTGGTCTTTCTTATCCATTGCCCAGCTTTCACATGCATATGAGATGACTGAAAATACCAAGGCTTAGGTCAGGTGTACCTTAGTCCTCAAAGTGACATCTTTGCTCTTTAACACGGTAAAGAGGTCTTTTGCAGCAGATTTGCCCATTGCAATGAGTCATTTGATTTCTTGACTATTGCTTCCATGGGCATTGATTGCGGATCCAAGTAAAATGAAATCCTTGACAACTTCAATACTTTCTCCATTTCTCCGATGTTGCTTATTGGTCCAGTTGTGAGGATTTTTGTTTTATATTGAAGTTTAGTCTATACTGAAGGCTGTAGTCTTTTATCTTCATCAGTAAGTGCTTTTTAAGTTCTCTTCACTTTCAGCAAGCAAGGTTGTGTCATCCGTATATCGAAGGTTGTTAATGAGTCTTCCTTCAATCCTGATGCCACATTCTTCTTTATATAGTCCAGCTTCTCGGACTATTTGCTCAACATACAGATTGAATAAATATGGTGAAAGGATACAACCCTGACACACACCTTTCCTGACTTTAAACTATGCAGTATCCCCTTGTTCTGTCTGAACAACTGCCTCTTGGTCTATGTATAGATTCCTCATGAGCACAATTAAGTGTTCTGGAATTCCCATTCTTCACAATGTTATCCACAATTTGTTATGATCCACACAGTTGAATGCCTTTGTATAGTCAATAAAACACAAGTAAACATCTTTCTGGAAAAAAACAAAAACAAAAATCACCTTTCTGGTATTCTCTGCTTTCAGCCAAGATCCATCCGACATCAGCAATGATAC